TTCAATAATGAATAGTATTTTTAAAGTTGAAATTTTAATTTTTTAAATTTAACTAATATATACTATTCTCTATTTTTAATTGCACAATTTAAAATAATTTAAAATAAAAACTGTGCGAGGCAATATACAAATTTTCTTTGTATTTAAGAAAAGCATTGACTTTGGGGCCTATGAGGAATCTTCTTTCAAAGTTCCCAAACCAAAAATAAAAGCAATTGTCCTTGGCTTTCTTTGTTTTTTTGAACATGCCCTACGATTTTAAAGCAGAGGGATGCAAAAGTACTCTTTTTCGAAAGTAGATGGACCCTTTAATTTTTGAAAGAAAGTTAACCATGCCATGCTAGGAGAGGGTCAAAGACTCAAAGGGAATAAAAATGCTCATTTCAACAAGTAGGGAATGATCATGACTATTTTTTCAAGGTCTTATGCACATATTTTAGAGTAGTAATTAATGCACCTTTTAACGAGGGAGATCCATTCACATATAAAATGGTGGAATTTAAATATTTTAATAAAAAAATAAAATAATATATTTTATAAATTAAATTTATTATTTCATTAAAAACTTGATCAAATTAACTATTGTAAATTAATTGTTCTACTTAAGGGCATATTATTTCATACTAATTGCTCAATTTATTAATATCACTAACTTATAAATTGGAGTTACATGATTATGAATCCTATAAATAGGTCTTTTTGCTCAAACAAGTGTATTCCTCGTCATTTTTCTATTTTTCTTACCTAACTTTATCTTTTAAATATTAATGGGCAAGGAAGAGTGTTTTGATTTAGATGACTCTATGAATATGTAGATTTATAAAGTATAATTATAAAACTGTAGTATTTTGGAGGTAACATGCTATTTATATTTCTGCTGCACCAATTGATCTACTCTCTGCAGAGATGTGAATCGCTTTAAAATAAGTAAACTTTTCATTCATATTTTGGTAATAATTTCTTATTGATATTTTTTTTGATAAGTTCACTAATTATTATTTTATTTGATTTTGTGATCGAAGCACAATAATGACATG